GACACAGTAATAATGAAAAGAACCCGATGTTTATATTACGGTGCTCGAAGATTAATAAACCCAAGACTTAGAAATTTTATTAGAATTTGGAGAATAAGCATCATTAAAAACAAAAATCACACCAAAAATATATGACGAGATACGAATAAAGGGTATGACGACGGGAGTGTCACACCACCGGAAATACGAGTGTAACTTATAATCTAAAATTAAGTCTAGATATTTTCTATGATGAGATATATACAATAAGCTCCCTCTCTCATCTTTTAAAGTATTTGTGATCAAAAATCATAGTTGTTCTATAGGAGGCTTCTCTTAAATGCTTAACTTCTCTTGTGGTAATTAATGAAAAAATAGATAAATATAGCTTAGGGTGTATAAGATAATGCCGCTACAATGCAGCATCTAAAGTGGGATGCGGATTGATCGAATATCGAAAATATCGGCGAATTAAAAAACGATTGCTTTCTTTTTTAAAAAAAATGGAGGTGGGTTAAATGCGAGCAGTTTTTTTTTAAAAAGAAAAAAAACCAAGTAACACAAATTCTCACCGGTGGTGACGTGATATCAAAGATCATCGGTGGACAGGGATTTTCCTCGGAAATTAAAAATCCTGATCTAAATTCGGGCGGGGAACATGATTAGTTCAACAACATTCTTTGCGTTTTTGCCATATGGGGCTGTACATTAGATCACGAATTACTCACAATCTAAGTTTTACACGCCACTGTTACATTCAGTAGCGGAAGTGATATACGGAAACGAGCCCTGTTAGTCCATATCATTATCGTTTACGCGTGAATAAGGTGAAAGATATGTGTCACCAGGGGTTTGTCCACAAATTTTACCGACATGAAAATTCGTTGTCTTTATATAACCTATAACCTATGGTATCAACTGGCATTGAAAATTCATAAGTTTACTTTTTTTTTCCTTAGCAGGATTGCAAGGATAAATAAATGGTGGGTGCGTCGATCAGATAGAATGTACACTAAAAGTAATAACCAAATTTAACTATTAGGAAACTTTAAGTCACAAGCCTCCTCCGCAGACAAAGATTTCACTGTGCATTTGCATAAATACGAATAATTTCACTGCACATAATCTAAGTTGGCGAATTAAATTTGAAAATTGGTTCATTGACAAGTTAGGAAAAAACCGTCAATTGCAGTGTCACATATTATATATGTATATTGAACAATGCATTATGTAGGCGCGTCACATGTTTGGATTGATTTTTTCTTTACATGTACCCAGAAAATTTTATGAAACATTAGACACACAGAGTCTCCTTGATGTCTCTTATAGGAAAGAAAGTTTTTTTTTTTACACAAGACAAAAAAAAAAAAAAGAGATGCTTACCTATGCTTTCTTTGAGTATCAATAAGATCAAGGCGTAATTGCATCGAACATTTTCAAACGTTCTATAACCTGTGCATAATAGTGGACTCATAAGTACAGTATAAAATATCACCTCATGACCTTCATTCAAGATGTCTTTCTATGTCTAGTACTTTTATACAAAGAGACATTCATGATTTGATACTACAATATTTGGACAAGAGAAATCTATAAAAGTACATATTTATTTACCTGTTTACATTGGAAGCATCAAAATCGACGTTTTACAGTTTCCACCTCACCAAGATCATCTGTGATAAACGCAACTAAATAGATATGGAATAAAGTTCGATTATATAATTCTTTTATATTCAAGTCTTTGTGTAATTCATAAAAAAAATTTTTTTCTGTAAGTTCCAAAGATCATGTCCAATGGATTTTTTTCATTAATCCCATGAAGACAATGGAGTGGTCGATCGTAAAAAAAAAAAAAAAAAATTTTTTCGTTTCTCTGCCATATAAGGAAGATGCGGGTAGTTCAACTCAATTTGGAATAAATCTCCACAAACAAAAGTATTTTTTTTACATCATGCTCACGCTTAAGCCCTCATTGAAATACCTTTTTCTCATACAAGATTCCTTTGGATGAGATTCCTATTTATGCATATTCCTCTTCAGGTAACCCCACAAATCATGTCCTTCAACGAATTCCAAAATAAACAAGATCAGACGATTTTCGCAGTTTTCAAAGGAGCATTTCTTTCTTCATCAACTCCAGATGCCATAGTCTTTCGATGCCATGTGCATCTTCAATCGCACGGTGCTATGAACAATGGTCTATTAGTACTGGTTTTGTTGACGCGAGCTGCGCAGCCTCAAGAGTTTACATAATTTTTTCTTTAGACGCGTTTCATTCCTATTTTTGAACTATACCAATAGAGCTTTTTTTTTTTTTTTTCAATGATTTAATGCATAAATAAGCCCAACGTAATTTACGTAATTTAGACTAAACTATATTTAACCAAATAAATTTTATCATATCGTTCTATCAGTGATTACTAAAAATGATACAAACTATACTTTGAAATAGAAAAATATGTGCGCTCGGATGCATTATCTAGTTACTATCGTGTAAACCTGGGAGAATCTTGTACTCCGTAAGAATTACCATAAAAGAAGGATAATAGGTAACGGGTTTGCATTATCTTGGAAAAAAGAAAAAAAAATTTTTCAACTGGTTCTTTTTTATGCGTGATAAGGTGTTCAAATGTCTTGGGACTACAATCTAACTTACTTCAAATATTTTTTCATTCAATTTCACTGGATTTCTACGAGCAAACACTGAAATCATGTGGCGAATTCTGGATAGCTTTACGTGAAAATCTCTTGAGTGTACAATTCAAAAAAATTTCTGATATCAACAATAGCGCAATTGTACGTGGCTGTGGATATATGTGTATCGAGAGCATTTTAAAACAAATACACGAATATTACCTGAAGATGAGGATGAAAAAAAAAAAAAAAAAAAAAACTATTATGCATGTATCACGTGGTTGATCTTCAATGGGTCAGAATTTGGGATCTTAAACAAAAGAAAAAACCATTTATGCCAAATTATGTATGTAGGTAAAAAAACTCAGATCTTGCATGAATAATCCTAATGTAAATTTTTCTTGCGTTCGGCAAAATTTTACAAAGAATTTCATTGTTGCATGAGATCAACACACGAATTTGTACGATACGTATCGGATCAACT